ATTTGTTCTAATGATGTTTGTAAATAGGATCTCAAGTCCACATCTTGTACAGCAATTAACCACTAAGAAGAATATATGCAGTGTGTTATTTGTTGAATCTGTACTTCCGATTTGATTTGAAACTGTCTCATTGCTATCTGTTTATCAATAAAATTTTGAAAAAAGAAAAAACAAAAAAAACCTGTTACTTGTTCCTCTCCTTTCTGGACCATGTGTCTTAGCTAACTATGAGATAAAAAATTTGACGATACCCACAGAGCCACTTCTCAGTATGTTGGTGGATCCAGTGGAGCTCAGTGTGCAGCTTATCCGGCCTTACCCAAGGACGCACAACAATATTATCTGCCTCAGAGAATCTATGTCCCCTGAAGTCCTTACTACTGCACTTTGGGAAAGGCAAGCAACAGCACCTATTAGTATAACTGGTGATCTTAGTGGCTATAAGTAGTGCTATAAGCAATTGTCCTTTCATCATAGGCAGACATGGCATGGTAATCTTCGTGGTCCTTCTGGGCTTCTGTAACAGAAATGTCACAGACTAAGTGGCTTATACAGAACAGAGGCTTATTTATTTCAGTTCTGGAATCTGGTAAGTTCAACATTAATGTGCCAGCAGATCCAGGGCCTGGTGAGAGTGTTCTCTTTCATTAACATGTTTCTGCAATGTCCTGACAATGGTAGAAGAGGCTGGGATCTGTCTGGGGCCTCATCGGAGGGGTGGCCCCATTCGTGGAGATCTGCCATGATACAGAGTCACCGTCTTTGGCTTCCTTGCTAACACCTCCCCTTGGGAGCTGGAATTACAGCATCTAAATTTGAAGAGGAAGGACACAAACCCTCGCAATACTATCAGTATGACAGAAAATTATATATATTCCTATAACCTATATAATGGTATCGTGTCAGAAAAACATCCACATTTCCTGGAGCTAATTCTTCACTAATTACCTAAAATATAAAAATAGAGAAATGTAAAATCGAGTAAAAACAACAATATGAAAACTAGAACATTCTGGCATAAAGCGTATAGACCAAGCAGAATCACAGAGCAATATAAAGATACCAGCATCTCTTTTCAACATGTTAGAAAAAACTATGGTCTGCAGCCAGTTGTGCAGCTGCTCGAGTGGCCAAAGCGCCGCATCACGTGGAGCGCTGCCTTTCTGCTCTCCGCGTGCAGCATTCTTCTGCACACAAAAACCCTCTCACGGTGCTGACAAGCAACGGTTCTTTGAGACTGTGTGCCAAGTAAGTGCTGCTTTTTTTAAAATCGTGAGCACACACCACAGATTAGACATGCAAGCAACCTGAATATTGAAGAACATGGCAAAGGACCACAGCAGAAAGACTCTGGTGGCACACAGAGAAAAGCCACCAGAATCTAACTTAGATGAGCTATTTGGGAAGGCAACCTCTGCCTTGTGACCTAAACTTCAGGAGTGAGCCAGCCATCTGCACAAAGGGACGCCACCTACATTCTGCGAGAACTGAAAGTAGGAAAATCAAATAGTGTTTTCAAGACATCAGCTAACTGAATCAATTACTGTATACGAAATAAGACTTTGGAAAAATCCTCTGAAGTCACTGAAATAAAATTTTTACTGCCATTTTGTGTCTTAGGGAGTCTTTAAAAGTTTTCAAATATTTTAAAACCTTAAGACAGGCTTATGGACAAAATTCAATGTCAATATAATTTTTACTTTCTTTACCACTATATTTTATTTTTAATTCTCTTTTAAGAAATAAATTATTTGTATAATTTTTGAGAATCTGAAGGTACATTGCAGCCTTCACCTTTGTAGCTCCTAAATTCATAATATTCTGTTTGATATAATCACTGCTGTTACCTAAATGTCAGCATCTCAAATTATTCAAAATATGTTCACAAAAGTGAGCTTCAACAAAGTGAGATGTCTTGATCTAGGACTTCATGGCTGTTGACTAAACACTGAATATATAATTGGCAATTCAGTGTGACTGCAGACATACAGGACAAGCACTGTACATTTTTATCTTTTCTGATAAAATAAGTCTCGTCTTCCAGGTTCTAGTTCTGAGCGCACTGGTTTGCTCGCTGCAGTGTTTCTACCAATATTCGATGCCTGTGGGCTATCAGGCACACTCTAGGCCCTAGAAGCAGAACGGTGGTCAGAACCTTCCTTTATGTAAGCTTGTGCCTTGTCTTTTAAGTGAAAGTCAAGTGATACGTTTTATTATCTTTCAGATTTTTTTTGTGGTCCTCCAGTACAACTTAAATTGAGAATGTCTGCACTATCCAAATTTGATCCAAAGAAATATTTCTCCTTATTCATTTCATTCAATACTTTTTAAAGATTTGGAATTTTTGGACTGCAGTTTTATGTTACGTGGATTTTTGTTATCTGTCATGTTTTGTCTCAATTTCTTGTCAATTCTTTTTGCTTTTGATATTCAAGCCAACCCAATACAACATTTTTAAAAAATGTATTTAGTACAGGGTCTACAGGGTGTCACTCTGTAGATTGGACTTGTAGTGGTTCTCCTGTTTTTAGCCTCCCAAGCACTGGGATTATTTATGGGCACGCGCTACCATGCCCAGTCTCAATTGCCATCTCAGGGCACCCCAGGGGTGGGGCCAGCACAGCAAAACCCTCATTTTTAAATCCTCACTTTTAATATTGTATCACAGAGGAGAATTTCACCCTCTAGTGTGGATGGAAAATCTTAGGGTTCAGCTCTGTATACATTCTCTGGGCCTCCTGCCTTCCCTCTAGGGCTCTGCAGCTGGAATCCGTCTTTTCCTGGCTCAGCAAAGCTGTGTTCCACCTTCCCCTGCCTTCTCCTGGGTCTTTGCCTTCTTCAGGGCTCAGTCTTGCCTCCTGTGCCCTTGCAACATCCAGCCCTGCAGAAGCCAACCTAGTTCCAGCAGCCAGGGTTTCTGCCTTTCAGTGACAGGACTCGGATTGGGAAAAATCTGTATTCCAACAGAGACAAGGCAAAGTGCATGATGTATTTTTACAATAAAACACTGCTTCCTTTCATAAAAATACACAGTTTGAGCTATGTTATGCCAATTAGAAAGATTTATACATAGTATCAATTTCACTGATCACTGAGTAGAAATGTTCTACAAAAATATCAGTAATAAATATTATTGTAAATTCAAAACCTGTAAGTGATTATATGAATTTTTAAAAATATACATATCTACTTAGTAGGTGTAAATTTTTTTAATAATTGTAAAGTAGAAAGAGCTTTTTCTCATAGAAACGTGTAAGCTAATTCATGCTGATGTGATAAGACTTTCAAAAACATTTAAAAACAGACTAAATGCTTGCTTTTAAGGAAATTTTGAAGCAAAAGTATTAAAAAAGGCATAAAGCAAGGCTGCAATGTGAGATGCACAACCAAGTGTTTGGTGACTGGATTTACAGAGCCCACAAAGAAAAGATTTAAGGTAGAAGTGAAGACTTTTAGTCCAAGTGGCTTGAAAGAATGACCAACATAGTTACAGAGAGGCGTTACAGAGAGCATTTAGGGATAGAGCACACAGATTTCATCACGTGCGAGCCAGGTATCTTTTAAGAAAATGATGTTTATGAAAAGAACTTGAAATCAAACTGCAGAATTAAAGTGTGAAATGACATGAAGAGGACAAATTCAGAAGTGGAGGAGGAAAAGCCGAGCTTAGCTAGTGGCTCAGGGCAAAAGACACGCAAAGAAGAAAGTGGGAAGGTGTGCTGGGCCAGCAGCATGGAGTCAGGAGGGCTGTGCGGGGACAAGCCAGAAGCCGCTCCGAATGCGAGGGCTGATGGCCGTGATCCTGAGGAGCCTCCACAGACCAAGCTGGCAGAGAAGACCACACCGCAGCAACCACACAGAAATCCTCTGAAAAACTGACAGTGGGAAAGCTGAGAGCTAACAACTTTCGGTGATGAGTGCTTCCTGTTTTGAAAATGTGTAACATGCATGCTGTGGTATGTTACCATTTCTGCTTTCTCTCTGTTTTTGCTTGTTTTTATTCTTCAAAACAAAATAACATTGAATTAAAAAAAACACAGGTTTTTAAAAATTAAGTTAAAAAGTAGAGAGCAAAGTAAGACACAAAGAGCACAGACCTGAATATGTTAGAGGACAGAGAGAAGACCTAGGGAAGGACAGGAGACACTGGAAGGCCAGGAGGCAGCTCCAGAGGAGACACTGCTCCGGCAAGAAGCAGTGAGCATCTCATGACAGGTGGGTACATACTGACTGCAGTCCATGGGACAACGGGATAAAATGAAGATCAGGAGAGGAAATCAAAAGTGCAAGAATCAGTAAAAATATGAACATGCATTTTGATGAGCAGGAGGGAGCGAACAATTGGGAAGACGTGGACAGTGAGACCACACAAAGGAACTCCTCAAGGGCAGAGGCTTGCACGGACTCAGAATAAGAACAATAATTTCCTGGCGCTTCATTTAAAAAACAAGTCTTTCATTTATTGATTTGGTACAGGGTCTCACTATACAGCTCAGACTCAGTGATCTCCTGCCTCCACCTTCCTAGCAGTTGAATTACAGGCATATGACTCTACACAACCAGCATGGCATGCAGTACCGGAGAAAGAACCGGGGTCCTTGCTCTTACCAGGAAGGCCCTTAGACCACCAAGCTGTCTCCCCAGGCCCTGATACTTCATTTTTAAACAAAATTTAAAACCATTTTATGAGTGAAATGTAGTGAAGAATAAAGGCAAAAGAATTATCTTTACATTTAATTTTGATTCTTCTTTTGAATAGTGTCATATTAGTGAGTAGAGAGTATCCATGAAATGGAACAAACACTGCTAATGTGTCACAGAAATTTAGAACAATCAGTCTTACCTCTCTCAGTGGATCATTAAGTTCATTGAGAATGTTTTCCTCATCAAAGATCTTGCCCTGGTATCTGTGTTCGTAATAGTCATGGATCTTCTGGCGCATGTCAGCCGGTAACTTATGGAAGGACATGTACTGCTCCACTTGCTTATACTACGAGGAAAGGAAGCCAGAAGTTAGAAAACATTGGCAGGCTGTAAGAAAACACATCACGTCCTACTGCTGTGCTTCAATTAATATTTGAACACTTAGTAACAAAATGAGAATTTTTTTTAAGAGAAGGAAACTACTGCACTGGATGCTGATGAATCTACTCAGTGTTCTAGATAAATGTACACGACATCTTCTATATGTGGTAGACTCTGAGAAGATCTGCAGTGTGGAAAGGAAATGTGAAAGTAATTTAGAGTGAATTTAAGATTATGACTTTAAATATGTCAAAGGAAAAAAATGAAATGTTGTTTGTTTTTAGTTGTTTTGTGAAAGCAATATCAATTTCTTGCTTGGCTCTTCATTTGAAGAAAGAATCTTGGAACTTTGAATAGCATAAAAAGTTTATCTTAAAACCCCTAGCAAAAAAAAAAAAATGAACCCATTATATTTTGAATCTGGGGGTGAAAGCTTGGCAGCCATTTAAAAATCATACTGAAGCAAAACAGATGCCCCGCACAGCACTGAGAACCAAGCAAGTGTCTGAGGCTTCCAACTCAGGCTTTAGGAAAGTAGCAGGGTAAATTAGATAAATATAATGTTATGGCAGTAGGTTTAGTGAGAGGTTGAAGTGAAATTAAGCAAGCAATTCTTAAAAGTAATTTTTATAAGACTGCAGAAGAAACTGCTGTAGGCCAAATCAGATCTTCAGACTTAATAACCACAGAGAAATTCCACTGAGGCACCTGCCCTTTTACGCGCCCCCCCCCATTTAAAAAAAAAAGTCGCAAAGGATTATAGTGGCATGGATATTACCTAGAAGCCTATCTCAACAGAAAAATGTCAGGCCTCATTTCACACATGAAATCAGAATGCACCTATTAAATAAACCCCTCAGTGGGATGGGCCACACACGGCACGTTACCAGTGCGGGAGCCATTCCAGTGCAGGAGCCATTCCCGTAGTACTTTTAAAGTGTCGTCATGAGACCACAAATTTTATCCTGAAACCTAGTTGCACTGATGTGAGAACTGACATCAAATTAAAAGCAAATGGTAACACTGGTAGGTGTACTTTATTGAGTCATTCTTTAGGTAAAACACAATTTGCATATTATACAGGAAAAAGAGCTCAGATCTGCTGCTGACACCAGTGAGGAAGAAAGGAGCGGGTTTCTTGACCTTGCCAGCCGTTATCATTAACTGTAATCAGTAACTCAGAGCAGACTGAAAAAGGAGAATTGTCAACCTGCTGCACCACTTCCTCAGTCTTTGTCTATACTCCTTATGTGTAAAATCCATGCTGTGGGGCTGGAGTGTAGCTCAGTGCACGAGCACGTGCCTGGAAACGCAAGACCCGAGTCTGATCCCTGGTACCATGAAAAAATACTATTGTTTGTAAATTTCTTTTCGGAGAGTAGTCCCCTCAGAGGGAACAACACCTTGCACAACACTGTCCCTATGTGTAAGCCTAGTCTCTTCCAATGTGTATGAAACCCTCAGCCCAATAACAACATCTTGAAGCAATTTAACCCTGATGCAACATTTTAAATTTAGGCTCCAGGCCAATACTATCTCTGTGTATTAAGTGATACCGAATGCTTAATAAGTGATAATTTTCCCCAGAAAGTGCATGTGCCTACCTAACTACAGTATGTTTTGGTAGCCCACTGCCAGAGACCTTAAACTCAGCTGTCTTGGCATCTCATGCAGAGGGTCTATAGGAAATATCTTTGTTTTTCCATTGGTACCAGGAACTGAGCTCAGGACCTCAGGCTTGTCAGGCAGGCGCTGTGCTGCTGGACTACGTCTTGCGCTGTATGTGGCCTAGGTGAAAGTGGTTCTGCTGGCTCTCGCTAGAGGCCTGCTGAGAGGAATATAGCCAGTCAGGAGCTGGATGAGAAAGGGTCGGTCTTCATTAGTGCTTGGTGCTTCCGGTAGAAAGACACTGTTTAGAGTGTGCAATTTCCATGGAAACCCTAAATGTTAGCTCTGTTCTAATGAATCACAAATAGTCTTCTTGGTTTAATCAGTCTGCCTTGATTAAAAATCTACTGATGTCTTTGTTAGTGAGTTTCCCTGAACCAGGAATCTGCACAACTCTTGATAGTTTCTAAAAATTATTTATTTATTTATTTATTGTATTTTTTAGGGAAGGGTCTACAGAGTGTTCAGGGTCTCACTACTTCATCGGACTCATAGTGATCCACCTGCTTACAGCCTCCTAAGAGCTGGGATTACAGCGGGGCCACCACACCTAGTCTCAATTGCCATTTCAGTGCGCCCCAGGGGCGGGGCCAGCACAGCAGTCCAGGAGATTGAACCCCCGGCCTCTGCACCTGGTTGCAGGTGCTTTAATCCACTGAGCTATTTGGCTGGCTCCCTTTGTTTATTTTTAAAGATAATACAAGAAACAGTTTACTCTCGCACCAACGGTGGAGAAGGCTTCCCTTTTCCCCATGGCCCCGCCAATATTTGTTATTGGTTGACTTGTTGATGATTGCCACTTTTTCTGGGGTGAGATGGCATCTCAGTGTGGTCTTAACTTGCACTTTTTTTAAAAAAATTCTTTTAAATTTTTAAATTTTTCCCCATAATTTTATTGATAAACAAATAGCAATGAGACAGTTTCAAACCAAATTGGTAGGACAGTTTCAATAATTAACACATTGCATACATTCTTCCTAGTGGTTAATTGCTGTACAAGATGCGGACTTGATATCCTATCTACAAACACCATTAGAACAAATCACTCTATTCATTAAGAGAATGTAACTATATATTTATCCTAACCACTTTGAATACACAGATACAAAATGGACATTCATCTGTATCCCCTTTTTTTGTTAAGTTCCGCTATTTGAATATTATAGGTGTGTAAACTCAGCAAAATATTCTAAAAGAGTCCAGTAGCCCATAATAGTATTGGGTCTTCCGCTTGACTGGCAATGTCAGAAATTGTTGACCTGAGACTCAGGTTAACTTGCACTTCTTAGATGACCAGTGATGCTGAACTTTTTTTTCATATATTTATTTGCCACTTGTATTTCTTTGTCTGAGAAGTGTGCGTTCTGAACATATAAGGAATTAAAAATAAGGCTCCCAAAATTCAAAGACCCAATTTAAAGATGGGCATCTGGAACTCATCTCTGCTTAAAGCAGAGAATCAGCATGTTCTCACTGCCCAAGAATTGACTTTGAGGGTAGCACACAGTGGAGAGACACGGGGCTGCCTCCTTATCTGCACTCCCTTCCTCTTGCTACCTGTACCCTTACCTTTAAATGAAAGTCTCACAGAACTATGTTCTGTGCAGCTCAAGATCCACTACAGCTTGGAGTAGCAAGGACCTGCTGCTTGAGCTGGAAAATTCCCCTTTACGCTTCTCCATCCTCTGCCTGGCATCCCATGCCAACACAGACACTTACAATTTGATTCACTTGGAGAAACTGCTGCCTCTCTACAAAGGGCTGCTAGTAGAGGCAAGATGTAATCTGTGCTATCTCCATACCTCTGGAATTTTAAAATCAGTCATTGGTTTGATGAATACAAATATTATATATGAAGCTATTTTATTTTCATAGAAAATCGTGCTTGTGTGAATCGAGTTGTCTCGTTCCCAAGACCGCTCCAAAACTACTGAATCGGGAGCTCTCTGTTTGGAATGTAGCAGTCTGGGTCTTTCCAGGCCCTCTCTACATCAAAACTGCACATCGCTGCCACATGCCGAGGACAGTGTTGTCTCGGGACACAAGGAAGCTTGTGTGACTGAGAACAGGGAAAATAAATTCAGCTTTTCACAAGCCAAGCTTAAGACACAGCATTTTTTCATGTTTATGTGTATGTCAGGCACTTAGAGAATACACACGTTACGTGGGGCTGCAGTGCACTCTGGGCCAATGTGTCAGAGCAGAAAAGGAGCTGGCAATGCAGGGCTTCGGCATGGCTAGGACACGAGTGCAGAAGTAGCGCAGCGTGGATTTCAGAACCAAAAACTTCAGAAGGGCACGTGCAGACGCTGCCTGCTCTAGGGAGGAAGGCTCTGGGTGGTGGCTGTGAATGTGGAAGCGAGGAGGCGAACTGCTTTGGGTTGATGCGCGGGAGAAGCTGGAGTCCCATCCTCTGCCTCACAGGAACAGGAGGGCCAAAGCACACCTAGAAGCACCACTTCCACATGATATAAAGAATAAAGTCTGCTATGAAAACATGATCTAGAACGAGTGTTAATAACAAATGGTGATAGTTCACCATCAAACACACTGACCTTGCTCCTTCCATGTTTAAATTGGTAAACATAATGCATCTGCTTCTCCTTTTACAGAGCTTACAGGCCTCATTTATTAGCTTTTTGCCCTAAAATTAGATCTGACCACCTACAGCCCTTCAGGTTTTCCTTTTCCTGCTGTAACTGTGTCACCAGCATTGTGTCTTCACTTAGTCTCTTTTAAGTTTTACAACGTATTTACCTTCATGAATTGTTCAGAGAAACGTAGACTACTGGAATGAAAGCATCAAATTCCCACCTCCACTTTGTAATCGCTGTCATTGCTTCAGCAACATAAAGATGGATTACAACTTCCTACATATAACAGAAATTTCAAACCCACCCAGTGCTTGTGGGCGGCGCCACTGACCTATGCTCCGGCACTTGTACTTCCTGCCCACAGAAGTACTGGCCATGTTGCCAAATGGACCATATGATGACATTTGTTTGGTTTCTTTAACTTTTATTTCTTGCACAGTCTGCTTGTAATTTATTATTTTTCCAATCAAACAGACACTGAGCTTTCTTCGGAAAATTTCCTATAGGATTTTGCTTTTCAGTATCTTTGGTTGGGTTCATTATTCTCAGACCCCAGGCATTCCTTTCAGTTTATTTATTCATGTTTCTGGAACAAATACTCAAACAGCCAAGAAATGTTACATAGGAATTTGGCTTTCCAAATCTTTGCACTCATGAAAATGGCACTAATAAACTCTCACTCCTCATCAATAGTCTAACTACA